ACCCCTCCCCCCCCCCACCTGTCCGACTTTGTCCGCTTTTGAACTAACCCCATCCCCGGTCTCTGCAAAGTAAATAGCAAAACAATATCCTAGTATTTAAAGTTATTAAAAATGTGAATCTGAAGTGGGCCTGGTTTCAAATTGTACATTTTTTAGTGGGAGCTTGTATCAAAATGGGGGTCTAACATTTTGTGACGAGAGGGGTGTGGTTAAAAACTGCTTCCTTTTGCACAATTTCATTTTAAGTGTTATTTATGACATCACTTTTGCTTATCCCATTGTTCTTAGGACCCCCGGTCAGTGTGATATCGTTTCAATTTGTAATGGCCTTAGTAGCCTACTCATGTTTATCCCCCCCCCCCTTCCTGGCTTTTCGCTTCTTAACTAATAACATAAAATTTGAAAAACCCAAATATCATTATGTACTTTTTCTAATGGCCTACTTATAAGATTACGATTCATAATTATTGGTTAAAAACTCACTGCAGAGTTCAAAAATTGTAACACATGATGATAATAAAGTGCATTTAATGCTCTCAAACCGAGATGCCAGTCTGTGACCCTTGTGTTTAGTTTGAGCAAGACTACCTGACCACCCCCACCTCATCTCTAACACTAAAACCTAAGGGTCAAATAGGTCATCAAAACTTATAAATGATTTTTAACCGGCAAATATTTTCTGTGCATTAAAAACTTTAACAAAGGTCTTACCTTTTCTCTTCGGCCACAACAAAACAACGATATAAAGTGTATGTAAATAGCGTAGTTTTATCGATGCAACTGCCAACTGCTCGCCACGCAGCACAAACGTGTTAGTAACTTACTACTGCTATTTGATAGGTTGTTCCTTGGTCCAAATCGGTGCTATGGTTAAATGTTCAATAGAAAAGATAGTAAGGTTATGTGGGGTAGGAGTGGTGGCACTGCTGCATAGTTGTTTAAATGACTTTCTGCATGCACTTAACAAGAATAAAATATAGGCGACGAAAAGTTGAGGGGG